ACACTGAGCACACACACACACACACACACACACACACACACACACACACACACACACACACACACACACACACACACACACACACACACACACACACACACACACAGTTGTACAACGGTTAACCAGTGTTAATATGCTGCAGTAATAGTCTGTAACCTAGTTCACAGTAAGTTTCCTTAATATATATATACTATAAAGGGCCCCTATTATGCAGAAATGACTTTTATGCAGGGTTTAACACCAGTAGTGTGTGTGTGTGTGTGTGTGTGTGTGTGTGAGTATCTCCAGCAGCCTCTACTGCTCAACATGTGTAATTGTGTTTACTATAATCAGACTTGATGATTGAGGTGAATGTGATTGTGAATGAATCCGCCGTTTTGAATGAATCATTTGAATGATGCTGATTTACTGATGATCAGCATAAAACACACTCGGCTAAATATCCGTCAATCATCATCATTATCCATGATAACGGGCTGTAATTAGTGTCAGTAGTGCAGAGCTTCAGGAGCCCATCGGCTGATTAGACGAGCCTCTGAATGCGACTGTGCTGTTATAATCCAATCATCTGATCTCACAGAACACACAGCGCTGAACTCCAGACCTGCTCCATCTCAAACACACACACACACACACACATTCACATACACATAAATGCGCACACACACATATACTAATAAACACACATGATCACACAGTAGGGGGCGCAGTGGGTAGCAACACAGTCCCCTCACAGTAAAAAGGTCGCTGGTTCGAATCCTGGCTGGGTCAGCTGGCGTTTCTGTGTGGAGTTTGCATGTTCTCCCCGTGTTGGCGTGGGTTTCCTAAGGATGCTCCGGTTTCCCCCACAAGTCCAAACAACATGTGGTAAGCTAAATTGGCCGTAGTGGATGAGTGTGTGTGTGTGTGTGTGAATGAGTGTGTATAGGTGTTTCCAAGTACTGGGTTGCAGTTGGAAGGGCATCTGCTGTATAAAACATATTCTGGAATAGTTGGCGGTTCATTCCGCTGTGGCAACTCATGAATAATAAAGGGACTAAGCTGAAAAAAAAAATGAATGAATAAATCAAAAAGTAAACACACACATACACACACACACATGCTCACACACTTCTACACATAAATGTTCACAGTCATACACATTCATATATATCACACACACACACACATTCATACACACAAACTCACACATAAGCACACTCTTACCCATAAATACACTCGTGCACACTCACTCATACACAGACATGCACACACACACACTTACAAACACACACAGACACATATATGCACAATTTCTTACACAAACACACAGACACACACACTCTTACAAACACACACACACACACACACACACACACACACACACTTTGTCTGCATATTTCCATTATCTTCATCTTTACGGCCTCTTCTGAATCAGATTCAATCATTGCGTCTCGTGTCATTTAGCAGCCACTCGTTTACAAACGACTCATTAAACACTAATGTCTGTCTGTGTGTGTGTGTGTGTGTGTGTGTGTGTGTGTGTGTGCTGCTGTCTGTAATCACTGCACCACTACAAACCATTACACCAAACAACAAGCACAAGACTGTCTGGACATCGCAGACAAATGAAAAATACAGAACGCCTTACAATAATTCATTCTGCTTCAGCTTAGTCCCTTTATTCATCAAAGGTCACCACAGCGGAATGAACCGCCAACTATTTCAGCATGAACTGTGTATGTGCAGAACTGGGGGAGAAATGTGCAATTATGCTATTTATTTTCATTGCAGAGGTTGCGCGGTGGGTAGCACATTCGCCTCACAGTAAGAAGGTCGCTGGTTCGAGTCTCGGCTGGGTCAGTTGGCATTTCTGCATGGAGTTTGCATGTTCTCCCCGTGTTGGCGTGGGTTTCCTCCAGGTGGTCCGGTGTCCCCCACAGTCCAAACACATGCGCTATAGGGGAATTGGGTAATAATAATAATAACTTTTATTTGTAATGCGCTTTTACTATACTCAAAGCTAAAATTGTCCGTAGTGTATGAGTGTGTATGAATGTTTCCCAGTGATGGGTTGCTGCTGGAAGGGCATTCACTGCGTAAAACATGTGCTGGATAAGTTGGCGGTTCATTCCATTGTGGCGACATAAGATTTATAAAGAGACTAAGCCGACATTTTTTTTCTATTCCATGATACAAAAAAACCTTGAATTTTTATATTGAAAGCTTCAAGCGAAATATTCTCACAACCAGCAGGTTAAAAATCACTTAAAGAGAGGCTCAAAATGCAAAGAGTGATTAAAAATTAATGATTAAATTAATTTGAAATAAATTAA